TAACTTTTTTTCTATGATGTTACCTGCCCTCTTACCTTTCGCACAATTTATAAAAATTATTTTTGAGTTCTTTCTTATCACCACCTGTATTTTGTTTTATTTGAACTACAAAGTCTCGTTAGAGCAGGATTCTCCTTACACAATCAGCTGGCTTCATCCATGGAATCCACATACATAGATTAACCAATGACAGAAAACATTTGGGGGTTGGATGGGGCCTGGGAAAAGCAGGTAAGAGGTCAAAGCAATCCATTAAAGACTAACGGGTAAAGTGCTAATAACATAACATTTACATCGTATTGGCATTACAAGCAATGTAGAGATGATTTAAAGCATACTGGTCATGATTAAAGTATAAGAGCCCCCAGGAAAATGATCTTTTCATAATAATTTTTAAAAAGGATACTGGAGGATGTGGTTCAGTTATATGCAAAAACTATACCATCTGACTCTATCAATCATAACAATGTATGGATAACATTGTGAAGAATGGGAATTCTTTAATTCTTCACTGTGCTCATGAGAAACCTGTAGTACAGACCAAGAGGCAGGTGCTCAGATAGAATAAGGAGACATTGTGTGGTTTAAAATCAGGAAAGTTTATTTGTCAGGGTTATAACCTTTCATCATGCTTCCTTAATCTGTATGCTGAGCAAATAATTTAAGATGCTGGATTATTCGAAGAAGAATGCGGAATCGGGATTGGAGGAAAACTCATTAACACGCTGCCATGTGCAGCCGACATCCCTTGAAGGTGAAGAGTACTGAACGCATTTACTGATGATGATCAAAGACCAGTCTTCAATATGAACTACACTTCAACATAAAGAAAGCAAAAATAGCCACAACTGGGACAATAAACAACCCCGACATAAGGGAGCCGAGCATCTGTACAGTTCAGTACCAATCTCTCTGGGATACTGAGGTACATATGAGTAGCCTCATGTTTATTTTTAGTAACCTTAAAAACTCACGTGTAAGGTAAGCATCAGTTTAAACCCTCCAGCTGCTCCTTGGGAGAAAGATGAGGCTCCTGTAAAGATTTTCAAAAAGCGTTGGAACTCCTATGGATGGTCACTCTGAGTGAGAATTAACTCAACGGCGCTGAGTTTGTGCATTTTGGAAACCCGACCCTGCCCTATAGGGTCACTATGAGCCAGAATGAACTTAATGTCAATAGTAGTACTTTTTAAACACCTTTTTTTCCCCCAGAAGAGCTTTAATAGTCATAATCCTCTTAAAATAAGGGAGATATAATATGAACATTGAAATAGTTTCATAGAATGGAAATATTTTAAATACATAAGAAAAAACAGCATTGAGATATGCATCAGTTCACATCAGTTAATGAACAATTTGGCATGATAAAAATGGGATATGTTATCGGGAAATAAATCTTTTGAAGTGGAGGCATTGGGAGAAAATTTAATTTAATACTCAGATTTGGAGAATTCAGTGATAGAGATAATATGAGTCTTACTCTCCTACAGTGAAGAGGTCACTTGTGTACACAGCTATATGATAAAGTTGACTGGAAAAAGTCAATAAAGTTACAAGGAGAGGAGGTTTTTGAGAAAATTTTAAGAAAAATATAATTTTACTCATTAGTGGTGAAAAGGGTTAGAAGTGCCTACCATCCTAATGTTGAGGCTGCTTTTATCAGCTTTTGGAAACTAAAAGTGTTCCTATTTCCTCAATCATAAGCATATTCATTTTGTATGTTGCTGCTTTTTTAATATATGGCTTTTCCTAAATTGCAAGACATGTTATAGAAATGTACTTAAGACTACAGACTCTGCTTTCTTAAAATATAGATAGATAGATACACATACACACAAATATTTTATCAAGCAATATCCACAAATGTTACTTTTGACATATGCCTAGCACCAATGGATATTGTAAAATCAAGAGATTTAGAGCTACAAGAAATGCTAATACAACACATGGCCAGCTTAAAGACATCTCAGCAATAGGCAGTCAAAATATCTACCATTAAATCTAGACTGACAAATACTAAAATTTTAAAGTTATCACAATATGACAATATTTATGTTAAAATTTTAAAACATCTGTAATGCTAGCACAGTAGTTTTTGATTTTACTATCTTATATGCAGTGACCACTGATGCTAATGTGGAACATTTCCTGCTAGTTATTCATTGATTAAAAAAAAAAGTAATTTTTTTCCCAGAGACTGGGCAGGAGATAAGATGTCAAGAAGCATTAAGTAGTGAAATGAAAGA